TTTCGAGAGGTTTTCGCTATAGGGCGCGTGAGCTTGCCAGACAGACAGAGAGAGACATAGAGACAGAAAGCGAGAAATCACCCTCCGGGGAGATGGTCATGCTGCAATCCCTTCTCCTCCATTCTCCTCTCGGGATTTTGGTCATGCACGCACACGCGCCCAGCGTGAGTTTTAAGCCACCGCGGTCGACTATGTGGGAGTCCAGCGACATAGCCATTACACTAACTGCTGGTTCCCCCTTTCCTTGTCTTTTGTGACCTAACATTTTTCAGAGTACAGCTCTGCTGTTTTATAGACTAGCTCTCAGTTTGGGTTGTCTGTGATGACACTGAGCTTACGCATTTTGGCAGGAATAGCAAATAATGTGAAAGTGATCTTCTGCCCTTCTTGGCGCAGTGGAGGTACGTGGCATTGATCTGTCTTATTTAGGTAACGTTGATCTCATCACTTGGGTAAGGTAGAGTCTCCCAAATTTCTTCTCCCTACATGAAGTTCTGACTATAACCCTCTCTCCTCTTCTGTTCTCACAGCGGACAGCCCTCTTTCTGCTTTCAGAGAAAGAAGGCAGAGATAATGTTGTGCTGCCATCCCTTCCTCCCCACCCCCCAAGAAATAGCAGCGCTGTCTTTCCCAGCTGGGCTAGCTTCTCACCTACACCAGGACTAGCGACATGATTTGTAAGACCTAGTGCAAGATGAAAATGAGGGACTCTTTGGTTCAAAATTTATTAAGAATTTTGAGATAGGGACAGCAGAGCATGAGGCCAAAGGTGGGGCACCTCTAAATCTGGGACCCTGTTGTTTGCACAGAGCACTTGCTTGTGGGCCCAGACCCACCTGGCCTTTGGAGCCCTCCCTTCCACCTTCTCAGCAGCCTCCTGTAAGCCCTCTATTCTGTCGTCAAGTTGGTCTGTCTCTCTCACTTTTCCATCTTATTCCCTTTGACTTTTATTTTTAAAAAGAATTATTTAATTTCATTTATTATCATTATTATCATATTTCAATTTGACCAAAGAGAGAGAGATGGAGAGCAAGAAAGCAAGTCACCAGATTTGGGACTCGAACAGTGGTCAGCCCTGTGGGAGTCCAGCGCCCACCACTAGGCAACCTGACAGCCCTCCATTGGCTTTTTTTTTTTAATTAAAATTTATTTATTTACATTCATTCATTATATATCATTACAGCATACAAAATGAGATTTCCTATCCAGAATACATTGTATATTGGCTCAATCAAGCACATCAACATATGTGTTATCATCAACAAATAATTTTCCATTTCTTGTTTCCTGTATATTTTGCTTTTTTTTTTTTTGCCATCCTTGAGTCCCTATCTCTCACCCTCTGCCGTGTTCCACCCTCCTCCCACACTTTCTCTGTTATCCATGGTTGTTTCTATGACCCCCCCCATTTTATTGATTCGCTAATGAAGTTAGTTAATCTAAATATTTCCAGTAGCAAGTACAGCTGATATATACATATCCATGAACACAAGTCTGACTTTAGGCATAAACTTCAGTAAATAGAATGAACATATTATAAAGTAGCACCTAGCTGGGGCTATATAGCCTACTGCAGTCATCAAATATGCATTTTTTTTTTTAATTTCAAGAAAAACAGTTTTTGTGTTTTTTTTTCTCCTGAAACTTTTCTTTTAATTAATTAATTTACATTCATCATCTAAGCATTGTCACAACATACAAAATGTGGTTTCCCATATTTATATGTATTTACCCCTATGTCTGACCCTCTGCCCTTTCCCACCCTCTTCTCACACTATCTCTGGTGTCTACAGTTGTCTTCCATTCCTCTTACCCCCCACATTTTATTGATCACACATCAAATAATCTAACTACTTTCAATAGCAAGTTCAGCTGGTAATTTCAAGAAAAGCAGTTTAAAATTGGTAAGGAAATTTGCTTAAAACTTAAAGCCTAGAAATAGATTAGTATTCTGTTCAAATAGTAGGTACATGAACCTATTGATAGCTCAAGACAGGACAAAAACTCTTAAAATAGGATAACAAAGCCTAGAAGAAAAGCA